TCACAAAGGGTCCCTAACCACCTCATAATGGGCCACCTCACAATGGGCGGCCTCACAGTGGGTGGCTTACCCCGCACAATGGGCCGCTTCACAATGGCCCCCTCACCACCTCACAATGGGAGGGTCTTGGGATTATCCTAGAGTATATGACAGTTACAGTTACAGGGATCATCAGCCCTGTGTGCTGCTCAAGCTTTCCCTTTTTTTTTTTTTTTAAGTAACGTTTGCTTTCAGTTGGTTGTTCCCATTAATATATATTAATATATGCTAGCACTTTTAGTGCTAGCTTTAGTAGGTAGCACTTTTAGGGCTGTTTTATCAGTAATATTTTGTCTTTTTACTTTCACCTGTGCTATCCTGTGTCCACTTTCTCTAGCGACTAATCTGTAATTGGTTTTTCTGCGTATCTTCTTCTACAGCAATTTCTCTGATGATGATACCTTGTAAATAGGATTATATGGAGTTGGTCTGCTTGTGCTGGTTGGGAGATGAAATCATTTTTAACAACCCTTCTGTATGAATCCTTCACATTTGTATAGTTTGCCAAGTACAACAGTCTCAGCACTGATATAGGTGTTCAGATTCATGAGTTTTTCATTTTGACAGAGCTTTTTCTGTGTTAGCAAGCTGAGACTCAAGTTTCAATGTTAAGATTTTGATGTTGCTACTCAGGGGTCAGTTTTCCGTTCAGGAGTCCAAGGCTGTTTCTGAGTCACGAGGACTGTTTTTTTTTTTTTTCCTAATGTATTGAATCGCCATTCAACAGTTGCAGCGATTTTGTATTTGCAGAGCAACCAATACCTTATTATTGCAGCTGCCTTCCTGGAGACTTCCTTGAAGAACATTCCCCTCCCTGACACCTGTGGCTCCTGGAGACTCATCCACCAAGGAGTAGAGCAACCTCAGGGCCTCAAGGCATGGCCTTCCTTTGCTTGCTCTGTAGGAACCTTCACCACCCATGTGCTAGAGGGTCAGAGCCTTTTAATGGATGGAAAGGACTTCAAAGGAAGGGTGATGCCTACTTTCATAGTTCAATACACAGCATGCTGAAGGGATGGCTTGTGCATTGCCCTAAAGATATTTCTGAGGATATTCTGAGTGTAAGAATGATTCAGTGTCAAGTACTAGATGGCAGCTACCCTGGAGGGTGAAAGCATGTATAGGCAGTGTGTTGCAAAGGGCATTAGTCACAAAGAAATAACTTGATTTCTCATTACAATATCACAGTCCTTGGCTACTATAATGGGCAAATTGCCTGTTAGTTGTTTGGCTACTTCTTAATTATCTCATGTTAATAAATGAACACAGGCCCATGAGGGTGTTATGCAAAAACTGCATAGGAAAATGGTATATTCAGAAACTCGGTGCTTCATGCAGAAGACTTCAGAAAAACCCTTCACGGATAATGTGAGCATACCTCAGTTTTGCTTGTCCAAATCATCTTGTGAAATATCTACTATATGTAGCGTGACAGGCAGGTGCAACAGGAACGGTGCATACCATCCTGCAAGATGTTAGCCAAGCACCAATACAGAGAAATGGGTATCTACTCCATTACATTCTTTTGAAAGCTAAGTTTTTATATGGCTATAGATAGAATAAGTTCACAATGATAGCAAATGATTAGACTCATAACGATGGCAAAAATTAGTTGGAAATATTCCAAATGTAAGTAATTGTTACCTTTCAGGAAAGGCTGGACTTGTGACATGTGACCCAGCCCAACAACACATGCATTAAAAAGAAACCCAAAACTGCCGACTCTTAAAGAGTATGGGAATTATAACCCAAAATTACATATTAACAAACCTCATTTTTCCTCTCAATTTGATAAAAAGTGTTCCTGCTGTCATTTCTAGTATTTCACAAAACCAGTATTCTTCTATGAGGATGAGTGCAATATGGAGCACTGTGTCAAACACTAAGATATTAATTGTCTATTATTAAAAAGAATGGAAATCCCCAAGGTCTGAGAGTGAAATTAGAATGCCTCAGTGAGAGCAGAAAGATGAGAAAACTCACAGAAGGAAACAAAAAGAGGTTGAAATACAGTAAGAGGCATCTGAGGGGTTCTGGAGGAAGGCAGGATACCCTATCTAACAAATAGAAATAATAATTCCAGTGTTTCAGTGGGTCCATCCTCAGGGATGGTCCTTTTTTCATCATTCATCTTTAGTTAATTTTGGTGTATTTATTTCGCTTCAGCAAAACTGTTCTTTTCTTAAAAGAAAAAAAAATGCAACATATTCTCTGCTCAGCACTCAAACCAAAGCTTTTTAAGTGCCAAATTAGACTCTTTATAATTCACTTAGAAAGCTGGCATAAAATAGACAAATTCCCCTTCTTTCATCCACTTCCCCCAATTTACAACAATCAACAAGAATTTGATGTTTTTAATTATTATTAGTGATGTTTTGAAACAAAAAAAAAAACCTTCATTAAAATTCTGAAGACAATTTACCTTTATGATCTACATATATATGGTCATCTTCAAACAAACCACTGATCAAGAGCCAGTGAGCAAGATAAAGCTCACAATAAAGCTTTCACTACAACCTAACTTATAGAGCAGAAATATGAATTTCAGCAGAAAGGGGAGTCGTGCTCCTGAATTTGCTTTCAAAAATCCTCCACAAATTACTCTTCTGTCTTAATATCCTCATTTGCAAAGTGTCTGTGAACAATCCTATCTGTACAAACAGTCAACATTTCTAAAGACGTGAAAGTGAATTTCAAACATTTATTATGTTGCATCCAATCACAATCAAGCACGTGATACTCCAATTTACATATTTATACAGAAGAAAGCATTTTACCCTGTTGAGTATGTTCTCTTTAAGTATTTTCAGTTGATGTCTGCGATGAACTATGAAAGAACTCAGCATAAAATGCTTGACCTTTTAATATGAAGAACTAACAAATATATACAAAATAAAGGCATAAGTCTTAAATATATTGGCATAGATCCACTGGCTACTGTGTTAGCCGAGCAGCTGCAAGAGCTTGTTGGTTTGCATCAAATCCTCCATAGTTGCGTGGCCAGTTTCCACAGTGAAGAGAACTACAGGCAAGTGAAGTTGTTTTACTTTACTAAGCAGTTCAAGGCATGTGCATGTGATCAGCTACAGTAGCTTGGCTCAAGTGCTCACACAAGAGGACTTTTCAGTTGCTCGTTGTCATCTTCCAACCTGTGTATGTTTGGCATCCAGAAAACCTTTAGTCTTTTCAGTGCTTGTGATTGTATATATACTTGCAATGCTTGTCTGTTTATTATTACTTTATCTTGAAGAAATACCAATCCATAAAAGACTGTCAAATCAATACAACAGTGTATCACCACTGAGGGTAGCAAAATCACAGAAGAGATTATTTGAAGAATACGCATAATTTAAGAATTTTGTTCCATGTGGGACATTTTTTGCTGAGTAGTGACTTTAAGTTGTATACACAATTTACATGATTGATTTATCTGCTGTCTCCTATGCCCAGGCTGAAATAAAATCAACAGGAGACAAGAGAAAATTCCACCTCTGCAAGAGTTCCCTGCTAAACTTTGGTCAGCATCCACTTTGCTGGATTGCTTCTGGGCTGAGCAATACCTGACAGTCAAAGGTGAATGTGTTTCAAGGCTGGTCCTGAAGAACTGCTAAAGAATCGACAATCTTTGCACACTGAACAATGTGAGGTAACAGAGAAGGTTACAAACAAATGCATGCGTGCTGCTGCTTTGGGAGTAAGGCTAATTTAGGAAGGAGAAAGGAATACACTCGAAAATACATGGCACGTTTGAAACTGAAGGTGGTTCCTACTCTCTATAAGGAGTCAAAGTTTGGGGCAATTTCAAGCACAGAAACCCACTGTGCTGTCTAGATCTGCACATTTCATTGTGCTCAGTAAAGTTAAAAAGCTTAACACTGCAAAGCTGGTAGCTCACAACCCACAGGCTTTTACAGATACGTGTACCTGAAAGGGTGAAGTTTAAGTTGAAAATTTAAGAGTTGTGGAAAAATGCACTTTGGTTCCGGGGAACGGAGGGCAGCTGGTGGGGGCAGAAGTGACTATGTCTATAGAAACATAAATGTAGCCTGGCCACACAAGTAACAGAGGGGACCTATAGCAAGTATGGGACCAGATGCAGTCACCAGGATCTTCAGAGGCCCCTGGAAGCTCAACATTTACCCCACAGCTCACCAGGACGCAGACAGCAGCCTGCTGAGGTCTATGCTGGAGGCACACTTTTTGGTAATAACTAAAACCTTTACAGAGAAGAAAACATTTGTGTTCTTAACTTTTACACAGCACGATCGGAACATAACCTAGAGCTCATCTACTTTCCATTTAGAATTCAGGCTTGCCTCCCTCACTCCAGCAAGACTTTCATTATGCATTTCTTTATGCATTTACTTTGATTAGCCGCTTTCAGATGTTTCCTATGTAAAGTCCTATTTGTATGTTCAATCTGGAAGATGATGCAGGACTAATCTGAAATATGATCATACTCTTTTCCCCCTTGGGGTACTAACACATAGAAATATATGTATTACACAAATATATATATACATGCATACATTCATATGTGTGCGTATATATACACAGATGCATATACAGGATTTATGTGGCAAAGAACCTTCCTTGATCATGTTTTCTTCCAAAAGAAACCAGGGATAAGGAGCACTATGAGCTACCTGACTTGAGGGAGACAACTCACTTCTCCACTGGAGGAGGATAACCAGCAAGTAGGTAAATCAGTCCAACTCAGATACCATTTTGCTGCTCCTGGCACCTACAGAAGCAGGCACATCTGTACACGAGGCTGCAGTCTGCAGTACAAACACACTCACAGAGTTTTAGGGAAGGAGCAGAGCTCTCTGGAGCATTTGCCGTTAGACAGTGAAAGGAAAGGCACCCACACTGCACATGCAAATACAAATGTGATAAGGAGGGGAAAACAAAACAGTAGGAGAATCTAACAGCTTCGGACTACAACTGTGGTAGTCCACATTATCCATGGTGGATCACATGGTGGATCATGACTTCTGCTACCTATCATTTTCCTAACATGGCCTTTTCTACCTTCTGGAACTTCTGTACTTCAATGGCTAGTTCCCAATATTTGAGATATAGCCACATAAGTCTTCCATTTTGGCTTTTGTTTCTGTTCAGCAGATTGCCACAGTAGTTATCATGTTTGAAAATATCTTTCAAGCCACTCTCTACTTGTAGAGCCACAGCAACAGGATCCGTTGCTGCTTTAACTAGCAGATTTTTCTCTATTTCTAGTCTCTGGTTTCTTGGCACCACAAGACTGCAGTAGATTTCCTGTCTTTCTTTAAGTCCATCTTCTAACTCTTTCAGTAGAATATTGGCTCTTTTTTGCCACTCTTCTTCCTTTGCCAGGTAACTCTGGTACAAGTTCCCTGCAGCTCCCGAGCGCAAGAGGACCTGTTTTTCTCGCTCTAGCTTCTCCTGTTCTTGCTCTAGGAGTCTTCTCTCTTCTACAAGTTTGCGGCTCTGGGACACCAGTGCTTCACGGTAACTCAGGGTTCTGTTGCGCTCCTTTTCAAGCTCCAGTTCCAAGTGAGCAACTGTGCGTCGATTTTCTGTGATTATATCCCGGTATTTGGCTTCCAGATCCCTCTGTAAAGATGACTGTTTCTTATAATACTCTTTTTTTTCTTTTTCTATTTCTTTCTGACACTCTCTGGTCCAGATCCAACCTATCACATATAAAGGAGACTGCACATATTAGTAAAACATAGGCAGCATTAATAGGTGTAATTAATTAACTGTTCCTCAAAAGAAAAGTTATTCTGCAGTTAAAACTTTTGTTTCCTGGTCCGCACCCACCAATTGGTCCATGTTCCATGGGAAGGTGAATTAGACAATCATATTGTTTCCTTTGAAGGCAAATCTCCACTACTATTGTATTGCTAACACACCTACTTCTTGGATTAAAGAAAGAATATAGAATTACTGGGGAGATAAACTCACGGCCCCCAGTGCAGAAACTACGCTATGCACTTTCCAGGTCCAGCAAAATATACACCAGCAGCTCTTTGGGTGGTTACCTTTGGCTTGCTAGCATATCACTTGTCTTCTCCTTGACAAGAGGCTGGCAAAGCAGAGCTTACTAATATACATATTCAATTCAGTGGCTGAAAAATTTTCATTGCCTTAGGGTTGTAAATTTAACAGTATTTGCTGGTACATTCCCAAGCACATGACACATCCTGGAGACCATGTGCAGAGGGAATCCCTAGACAGGGTATTACTTAACCTGCTGTGCTGTTTCAGGGATTGCAGTTGAGCCCACAGGTTACCACTACTTACGAAAGGCTGCCAGCCCCAGCATGGGCACCAGCAACGCATAATTCCACCTGCTGCCCTCATCGCCAGGCTCCCTTCGGTTCGGCTGGATGTTCCAGTGGGGAGGATCGTTCAAATTATTCATGAAGACGCTTTGGATTCATGGGAAAGAAGGGAAACACAGTGTTAGTGCCATACACAGGTACAAAAGCCGTTCCCGTGGCTACCGTTTTATCTTTGGGCAAGTGTTTCGGCCTTAGGCTCCCAGATAAAATGAGTAAGAGAAGCGGTTAAGCCCTGACACAAACCGCCCCCA